TTTTTTTAAATCAACTATGAAATGGATTCCATTTCTTTTTATCCTTAATAAGGAAAAACTGATGAACCCAGTGGTAAATACAGTTGGTCACCATGCCCTCAACCTGGAGCTCATGGCTGTTTCTCTTGGGGGTAAAAACTTAGATGATTTAAACTGTTTTATTTATGTTTTACTTTTTCTGCATTTTCTAAATATTCTTCAATGAGTATATATTACTTGTATGATTAAGCAAAATAGATGCTATTACAGACTGATGTAGGTGACCACACATACACCACGAGAACACAAATGAACTCAAAATATTAACTGTTACTATTTCGGAGATAGAGCGTAAGAAAAGGAGTGATATTTTTTTCCTTTCTTCCGTGTTTCAGATGTTTGTTCACAACTTTTGTTTTACATGTTATAGTGAAATGTCAAAATTAATTATTACCTCAAAGAGCTCAGAGAAGGTTTTATTGTTTGTTTTAAGTTAGGGACTGCACCTACCATGTCTTTACCCAGCTTAACAAGTCCTTTGGGAAGTTCTTCTTACTTAGCCTAAATCCCAGGTGCTGCTGTGTTAGGTGGGCATGTGTGATGGTCTTGCTGGTAACGGGAGTGCTGCTGAAATGGCTTGGGCCTAGGGGTGGGGGCAAATCACAGAATCCCTAATTCTGTAGGGGGAGAGAAGGAGAAAGCAGAATCCTTTCAGGGTGGAAACCTATATCTGGGCAGATGAAGTCTCCCTTCCTCCCCACCTAGGTCTCCCCAGGAGGTGCCGTCTGACCTGGTCCCTCGGGGGGAGCTCTGGCCACCCCTCGCTTCCACACCCAATCTCCAATCCCTTAATGGGACGGAGTGGGGCAGGGAAAAAACAAAGCAAAAGGCCCATTATGCAAAGGAAATAGAATGGAGCTCCTACGCCCACTACTAATCCCCTCTACCTTGCTCAACTTTTTTTTTTTTCTCCGTAGCATCTCATACCTTCTCGCATACTGTATAGTTTATTTTCGCTGTTCATGATGTCTTCCCGACTTGCTCACAAGAACGTAAGCTCCGGGGGGCAGGAATCACTGTGTCGAGTGATGTATCCCGAGGGCCCCATACAGAGCCCGACATGTGGTAGGTGGTCAGTACCTAATTTTGAATACGATTCAAAACAGAAAACTGAAATTTACGGGACAAAAGGATTGATGAGATACACAAAGTGGAAACAGCAAGACAGCATATACCGCAGAATTGTAACTAAAAATACGCATCCGTTTGAGAGGGGATGAGAGTCTGGAAGGAAACACAGCAATTGCTGATGTTGATTCTAAATTTGGGGGACTGTGGGTGACTTTGCTTTCTTCTTCATTGGTTTTCTGATCGTCTGACTCGGGGTGCAAGTGTCACCTCTGGGATCATATGAAAACGTTTGCTTGGAAAAAAGAGGGAAGAAGGGTGGGGTCCTGAGCCAGCTGCAGTCAGCGTGCAGGGGGGGTCTTGGTGCTGGAGGCGGCCTGGACCGTCAGTTTGGAAATACCAACCCCACCCACCCTGGAAGGACTCGTCCCTGAGGAGAGCCTCCTTTTTATGGGCCTGGAATCTCCATGTCTTTAACGCTCCTGAGGTGAAATTTCTCTCCCGTGGGCCACTCCCCTCTCCCCAAGTTAGCCAAAGCCCGTTGTAGGGCGATGCAGTGTTGTTTTGATAATACCGGAGTGTGCATCCAGGCTCACGTGCTGAGCGTGACCACAGAGGCGTGACATGGTTAAAGTGTAGTGTAGGACTACCGGTACGTGAGGGGCATGGGACAGCCTTGTCTGCTGCCCCCACTAAAGCTGTGCCCTGGTGTCCCCATAAAAGAAGGGACCACTTTCCAGAGTAAGAGTTGGTGGCAGTGCCACCCTGCACGTGGCCAGGAGGCAACAGAAGCCACGGGGAGCAGCAAGGATGACCAGCCCAGCACCCGTGGGCCCCGAGATCACCAGGTGTGCTGAAACCTGAGAACACTCAGCTCTCCTCTGGAATGTGGCCCTCCTCGAAGCTTCCATCCAGACACTGAGTTGGACCGGGGCCGGGTCCCAAGGAACAGGACCATGCAACTGGTTTCTGCATAGCAGGTGGGGTTGAGGTGTGTGAAAGACAATGATGAACGATGTTTGGTCTTTGCTTCCAACCATACTTGAAAATCTCACCCCCCACCAAGGTTCAAAGATGTAACTTTTGAACCATCTTGGGCTTGTCATTAATTCATATGTAAAATGGTAAGCCCCTTACCTCTCGTGCTTTCACATTTCTTTTCTCCCTTATATTTCTCCTTAGCCCCTATTTACTAGCTGAAATCCTAAACATCCATCAGCTTCTTGTCTGTCTCTCCGCAGAAAGGAAGCTCCATGAGGCAGAGATCTTCTCTGCTATATCTCTCATCTGAGAACAGCATCTGGGATGTAGTAGGTGCTCAATAAATATTGGTAGGAAGTGACAGAGAGAGACTCAAAGACAAGGAGACGGGGTCACCTGGGTGGCTCAGTCGTTAAGCATCTGCCTTTGTTTCAGGTCATGATCCCAGGGTCCTGGGATCCAGTCCTGCATTGCATCGGGCTCCCTGCTCAGCGGGGGGCCTGCTTCTCCCACTCCTCCCTGCTCCCCATCTCTCTTACTGTTTCTGTCTCTCAAATAAAATCTTAAAAAAAAAAAAGATGAGACGTATCTTTATAAAGAATGTTTCCATTTATTTTATTACTTTAGATCTGAACCTGCATTAAGTGATGGTTAGTTGCACAAGCTCAAAGCATCCCTGCAACATGAACTGGAGACAAGCCTAGGTTTGGACCTCTGCCATTCAACATCAAGTCCAGTGGCCATAGCATTCAGCCCTGCGACTTAATTTGCACCCAGTGGGGCTGTGACAGCTCTGGCTGCAAAGACTCAGAGGGGTCTGCTCAGGGAGATGGTGGGAAGGGGTGAAGGATCCCTCAGGATGGGGGCTCGCTGCTCTCCCAGCCTGTGGCCGCCCGAGAGAGGACACCCGAAGGAATGCAAGGAAGGCTCATGGCGCCTGGGAGCTCGGGGGTAGAGACACCCAGTTCTTTCACCAAGTGACTCAAAATTGGGTCCCAAGCCCCCAGAAGGATACAAAGAGGACCTAAAAGAAACTTAAGCTTGAAGTTTCTGAGAAGCAGCCCCATTTCTTTTCCTGCCTGTGCTCATTCTCTCTCTCGCTCTAGCCTCTCTCTCTCTCTGCACACGCACACCTTGATGAGACCCCGGCAGGCCAGACCCCGGCAGACGCAGGCCCGGAGGCCCATGCAGGTGCACAGCCGCGCTCTGTGAGGTCCCTGGCCTCTGCGGCGGTCCCTAAGCGGGGCTGGCTCGCTCACACGTTTGTGTGCTGAGAACCAGAGGATGCAATGCTGCCTGGCTGGCTCCGGCCCGAGGGTGCAGAGCTGGGCGCCCGGCTCGTGCTGCGCCACCCCCCTCCCAGGCTCCTCTGGGCTGGCTCGTCCGTCAGCTTGAGTTTCTCATGCTCCTCTTTCAGGAAGAAGTCCACCAACAAGCCCTTCTCTTTCTTGATCTGGTCGCTGATGTCCGTGGGGATGTCAGGAATCATCCAGTCCACGAGGACACTCAGGAACATCACGAGGTTCTGCCAAAAGCCAGGGAGAGGGGTTGAGAGGAGAGGCCTGGCCCAGTGGGGCACCAGGGCTCCCCCCACCGACGGTCACCCTTACCCATCAGAGTGGGGCGGGCGGTGTGGCACCAAGGTGGGGGCGGTGGTGAGCACAGACCCAGGAGCAGGACACTGCCGTGCCCTTCTGGCTCTGCTACTTTCTAGGAGGTGCCCCGAGCTGGTGGGCAGAGGTGCCCCACAGCGTCCCCATATAGAAAGTGGAGCAGTAATAAGTACCTGCCCCCCGAGCTGTTGTGAGGATGACACCAGTCAGTGCCTCACACGGGGCGGGGCTGTTGCTGGCCCCCTCCTGTCCTTCCTGCCCGGCCTCTCAGCCTGCAGGCGCCCTGCTCCAGCGCTCCCTGGGAAGCGGGCACAGGGCCCGCCGGCCCCCCCGCCCAGGGCTCCCCTTGAGCCCGCTGTTCCTCTCTGGCTTCCAGCCGGCGTCGGTCCTCCAGGTCAGAGATGACCTTTGGTTTCCGTGCTGACTTCTGGCCTCAGCCAACCTCGCCCTCACCGGATCCCGCTCTCTCTCCCATCCCGCTGAGCGGGCCACACTGGCCAGTCTAGGGCCCCTGCCTGCAGCTGCCCCTTCTCCCTTCTCAGCTTCTGTGCACGCTGGTAACTGGCTTCCTTCTTCCACCTGCTGAGCCCCACCCCTGCGCTTGCAAACATTCCCGTAGCACTTTCCACTGAAGTGGCAAATACCTCACAACAGCGCCAGCTCAGCCCGGTACATGGCGGCTCCCTTGATAGCCCGGTTCCCACCCAGTTCGCCCCCTGAGCTGGGCATTCTCTGCCCGCCAGGCACACGCTCACTCTGAGATCCAGGGACAGCGATGGAGCCCCAGACGAGATCTCTAGGGCACGGCTGTCTTCCAGGCTCCAAACCTATTCCCACCTTGACCTTGCACCTAGGGGCCCAGGGGAGGGCCAGCGGACCAGCTGCTGTGTCCAGGGGCTCCTGGGTGCCTTTCATGCTCTAGAGAGGCTTCAAGCCACACTCTCCACTTAAACCAACTTTCACAGTGTTAACAAGTGTTCCACATGACCTGTGGGAAAGTCAGGGGACGCCTGCAGGGGGGAGCAGCTTTTCAAATCCATCGCCCCATCTCCCCAGAGCAAGAATGACTGTCTTCTTTAGGTGAAAGACTAGCCGATGGGCTTCTCCACTTCCTGGGCCGGGGTCAGGCCAGGATATCTTAGAGCCCCCCAGAGATCTGCCTTCAGGGAATACAAAAGCCTGAGGGAGTGGAAGAGAAAAGGATCTGGGCTCGCATTCCAGCCCCTCCTGAAGGGTGGCAGGACCCCGAGTGGGACCTGGGGCTGCACACCCACAGATCTCGGCCATGCAACCCGAGCTCCGGCTATTGTCAGAGATAGCGATCGCGGGGCTCGAGTTTGCTATTCATCCATGGAGGCATGGCTGGATGGCTCTGGGGCCCTCCCCACCATAGGTCTCAGGGGCCGGAGCACGCTAACAAAGGAGGGAGCCAGCCGAGAGCTAGAAGAACGGTTCAGAACTCGAGCCCTTTCTTGAGCTGCAGAGACCACGCGGGCTCTGTTTGTCTGCAGTAGGGTTGAGACTCTGGTCCCCACTGCTCTTCTCACTTCCTTTCTTGTCTTAGGTCTAAATGGGACTCTATCTCCACCCTGCATCTTACCCAACATCTGTCTTGTAACCTTACTCTGCGTTCTATTCTCTTTCTGCAAATCCATCCATTAATGGAAGTCCTCTTGAGAATGCTCCCTGCCTCCTCCACCTGCAGAGACCCCTGTGTCACAGTGCCCTGAAAGCATGGGGCAGAGGGGCAGGCGAGGAGACACAGCTGTCTTTACCCCTGCAGCCCAGATTCTATTCCTTATCTGAACAACTCACCTGGAAGATGATGACGAAAGCCAGACGGGCAGACAGAATGGCCCAGTACTGTTTGGAAAACTCATATGGGTTCGGGGCCCAAGGCGGCTCTCGGTAATCCTTAAACCTGCCCAGAGAGAAATGTGGTGTTAAGACTGGGAAGAGACGGAGGGAAGGGGGTGCTTCTGATCCTCAAGGATCAGAGCAGCCCGTAAGCCCCAGGCTCCCAGACTTGGGAAATAGGAGGAAGCAAGGAGGGAGGAATTCACAGCCCCACCAACAAGCGTCCATGGAATAAAAGGACCAAAGTCCTAAAAAAAGCCCAGTGTTGGCCTGGAAATGCCTTTTTCCTACTCTCTCTCTTGAACATCCCCCACGGCTTCCTCTGGTGTCTGGATTCTTCTTCCAGAGGAGCCCAGGAATCATGAGAAGAGCCCAGCACAGTGGTCCATGTTGGCCCCACTGGCCATGAGCTCAAGAGGGGAGGGAGATGCCCAGAAACTTTGGACAGCTCTCAGCAGGCCCTAGGCTCAGGGATGACACAGGTGGCTGCAGACAACCCCAGGCTTCCTTCCTGGCTGGCTGCTTTGGGACCATGGCCATAGAGGCGGCTTCATTCTTGCACCCCAAGGAAGGCTGACTCAAACCAAGCTCAAGGCTGAGTGAATTTGGGGGAATGGTGGTAATAGTGATGGTTGGTCAGTATCCTCTTCTACTGACCACATTTATGATCTGTCCATGTGGCTTAAGAAACAAAAGGTCAGTGTCTGACATGAGCTCACGCCTCTTTCTCAGACCCATGGAGAGATTTTCCTCACTGCTGTCTTTTCACCCCCATTCTGTGATGACTCATGTTAAAAACCGCTCATTTTCGGGGCACCTGCATGGCTCAGTCAGCTAAGCTTCTGCCTCTTGATTTTGGCTCAGGTCATGATCTCAGGGTCCTGGGATCGAGCCCCACATCAGGCTCAGCAGGGAGTCTGCTTGAGACTCTCTCTCTCCCACCCCCTCTGCCACCCCCCCCAAAAAAGGCTCATTTTCTCAGACTCACTTTTTTCTAAGCCTGGACAAGTGACAAGAGCTGGTACCAGAAGAATTATGACCCTTCATGGAACTGTTTTCTCCACGGAATTCAACAGATCTTTGAGGCTTAGTCAAAGCAAAACAAGCTCTGGGGGAAGGAGCGGGACTCACGGCTGCCGAGGACCGAGGAAGGCAGGGCGGGGGACTCCGTCTGAGGAGGAGCCAACAAGGAAAAGGACCTACACCGAACGGAGCAAGGAGCTTTTCTGGGAGCTTTCCCATTCAATCTCCGTAGCATCTTCCGGCAGGCACCGATATCCCCATAGAACGAATAGAGGGGGACACTGAGGCTCAGAGAAGGTGAGTTACTTGCCCAGGTCTCTCTCATGGCCAGCAAGGACTAGAGTCAAGGCAAGAATCCCAGTCTGGCTAAAGGCAGGCCTTTCCTCTATTGTCACAAAGCACCTCTCCAAGAGCTGCGGTTTGAGGTGGGGGATTCAGAAATGGGTGTTTTGGGTTTTTTTTTAAGATTTATTTACTTACTTGAGAGAGAGAGAGTAGGGGGAAGAGCAGAGGGAGAGAGAGAATCTCAAGCAGACTCCCCAAGGAGCGTGGAGCCCAACGTGGGGCTTGATCCCACCACCCTGAGATCATGACCTGAGCTGAAATCAAGAGTCGGACGCTTAATGGACTGAGCCACCCAGGCGCCCTAGAAATGGGTGCTTTCTGTCCCTTCCCCACCTGGAATGAGCCAGCTGCCCTAAAAGATCCGGGTAAAAGCATGGGGCTTCCAACTGTCCACAGAGAGATGCAGGAAGAAGAGAAGGAAAAAAGAGGAAAAGGAAAAGAGATGTACACAGACAGAAAGAAAAAGGCAGAGCGACAGAGTCAACAACAGGAAGAGACAAACAGACGTGGACAGTAAGCAGTCGACTAGGGTTGGGCAGGAGGCCAGGAGCTGCCCCTTCCCCACCTCCCCTTTCCAACAGCTGATCACAGCTGTTGCAGGCTTGCTTTGACATCCGGATGAAAAGCAAAGCTAACTGCAGCCCAGCAAAACACGACGGGATTCAGCATATCCATCCGAGGCTGAGGACAGAAGCACGGCCAGCTCCAGATTAGGCTTGCTAACGGGAGAGAGGGAGAGCATGGCTAAATGGAGGACACCTTGGGGTGGGAAAAAGCTCAGGCTCACTTCCCTCCAGCTGCCCCCCAAAGGACCCCAAGGCAAAAGGGGATTTATTTACTCAAGATCTCAGGAGGACGGGTGCGACACATACGCCCACTCTGTGCCATGGGGATACCCTTTCCCAGGTCCAGCCCCATTCCTCCTGCTACAATCAAAGTTTGTTTCCCTTGTGCTCTAGCTCCATCAGTGAAGGAACAGCTGCTCACTGACCTTGCTCTAGGAGCCACTGCTCATCCCTCTTTTTTCCCAGTCTGAAAAGAAACCATAAATAATCTAATTCTGGTCCCACCTCTGATACTAACTCACCACAGATTTTGGAGATGTCCCTTTGCCCACCCTGAGTGTCCAAAACATTTTTAAAATCTAACAAACACATCCATTGAATCAAAGGTCTGGGGAAAGAGTAACATAGATATTTCCAGAAAGCTTTACTTGAAAACACAAAACCACTAGGGTGTCTAAAAAACAAGTGTGCACTGGGACTGGCCTTTGTCACTTACTAGCCATAAGACCCCAAGAAACCTGTTTCTCATCTCTGAATCTCAGCATTCTAATCTGTAAAATGGAGCTAGTAAAACGTGCATCTCCATGCTGAGCACACAGAAGTGCTCCAGCTCTTGCCCACCAACCATAAATAAATGAACACATACATGTGTGCACGTGCGTGTACATTAAATGTTAAAGGAAAGCACAGTGAAAATTAAATAAGACAATGCATGTGACTGTGATTTCTGGAGGTTCCACAGAGAATAAACACAATGGTTTCTTCTGGGAGAGAATGACTGGGGTCAGTACTATGAAGAAAGTGTTTTCCTTTCGTATATATACATATGTATACAGAATTGCTTTTATGATAAAAAAATCATAATTTCAAAAGGATATAATTAATGGCAATATTTGGGGGACCCAAACACATTTTTATACTAAGCTTTGAGGAGCAAAATTACAGTGTTATCTGAGACAGACTCATATACAGTAAGTGAAACTGGTACAAAACTCATTATTATAATTTAGCTTTAAATTACTTTAAGATTATATCTAGATTGTTCTAACACTATGAAGAATCACATGGAGTTGAATTTATATGCTACTTAAAGAAATAAGGTTCCCATTAATTCAAAATATATTTCATTATTATAAAACAAAGCCATGAAACCCCATAAAGGTTCTATGAGCTCACTTGGTGTTAACGCACGGAAAAGTCTGCGAAAGATGCGCACAAATGCTTTGTGGTGAGTACTGTTGGGGAGGTGCCTAGGACCAGGCAGAGGGTAGGGTGGACGTGGGACAGAGTCAGAGAGGCTGCCTGTAATGTTTAGGGTTTTTAGTATGTTACATGTATCATGAAATATTAAATTTTTTAAGGAAGAAGCAGAAAAGAATCTTTGGAAATTATTCATTCCGTGTCCCCATTTTTATAGATGGGGACACTGAGGTGTGAAGGGGGAAGAGAGACTCCTGGCTTAGATGTCCCCCTCCCATCCTCACTTGCAGGGGTGGCCAGTGACAGTGACAGGGACATCTGCCACAATTCATCATCATCCAAAATCGCCGTGGGCAGGAAGGGTGCTGAGGTAACAAACTGAGGAGTTAGTCAACAACAATCAGGGATGGCTTTTTCCAAAAATGAGGTTTTAGTTACATTATGAATCAGTTAGTAAATTCATTTCTCAACTCCAAACAGTGGTATGTTTAAAAAAATTGTTTTAATAGTCCCAATGGAAATTAATGTCATATTAATGCTAAACACAATTACATACAATATTTTCATACCATCTGAGCTACTTCAAACTGCCTTCTGAGATTGGCCTTTAACAAGGGAGAACAGTACAAGCAATTGGGAACTAATGAGAACCACGTTAATCCAGGGGTCGATAAAGATCAGGAAAGGCAACGCCCGGAAAAGCTGACTTCCTCTGGATTCAGCGAGGAGCAGATGAAGAGACAGCCATGCACTGAAGAGAACTCACCTCTTCAAAGACTTTTCACGTGACCTGGGGATATGAAAGAACTCAGGCCCTGTGGAGAAACCCGGCAGGTGCCACCCAAGGATGCTCAGCACCCCCACAGCAGGCCCATTGGGTTGACCATGCTCAAGTAGGCTCCCCAGTTTCCGGGACCCAGATCCCTGGCCAGGCCCTCCCCTGCCAGCCCCTCCGCTCCCTTCCAGTGGAGCCGGGAGCCTGGGCCACCATCCGCCCTCCAGGACGGATGGTAGCTCTTCTGCCCTGTCAATAGCCACTGCCCCTGCCCGCAGACTGACGTCATTGGACTGTTTATGAAGCAGCCCTGCCAGAGCAGCGAAAGGACTGAAGCAAACGTTGCTCCAAAAATGCTGGGAATGCATCTCAAATGGGCAGCTGGAGACTTGTCCTAACTTTTACTGCTATTTTTAAGATACCTCTATCCCTGGCAAGGCTGGGTTGGAGCCCGAGACCTCAGTTTTATTTGACCACATTTATCTCCAGAGGTCACTGAAAGCTAAGAATAAGAAGGGTCATCGAGTTCCCAACATTATTTGCCAGAAAATCAGGGCAAACTTTTCATTTCCCACCACGGAAGCAGTTTTAAACACTGGCTTTGGAGCTAGCTCCAGAGCTCTCTCTTTCTCTCCCTCCCTTCCTCACCCTCTCTCTCTCTCCCTCTTTCTCTCTCTCCCTCCCTCTCCTTCTCTCTCTCTCTCTCTTATTCTCCTGCATTTCTACTTCTTACAGCCACTGATGATTCCTGGCTTACAACATCAGTAGGTTATGCCACCACTTTCTGAGACTCTGGTGAGCCAGCCAAGTTCACACAGCACGCAGTGAGCAGGACCCACTGAGGCAGAGATTTCCATCAACAATTATCCATCTAGGAAAAGGTAGCCCCAAAGACACCTATGTGATATCTAGATAATAGGCTGACCCTGCTGTCTGGACACCTGCTTACACCATAGAGTGGAGCATCTCTTTATTTCAAATGTACCCCCCGGTCTTCATACTGCAGCCAGAGAGAACACCAAAGAAAAGTATGATCTCATCCCGGCTCCCTGTGGCTCCCCACTGCCCTAAGAGGGAGTCCACGCACCTCCATATGACCACCATGCTCTTCTTGGTCTGGCTTCTGTATTCTCTTCCCGCCTCGTCCCTCAGCTTATCCAACACTCCAGCTCCCACCACCGAGCACCAAGGAGCCCGTCTACCTGGAAGGCCTTGTTCTCCCCGGACCTCCTTCACCACTTGGGGCTCCCTTCCGGTCCCCCCAGCACTCTTCCCACCCCTCCCAGGCTGGCTTGGTCGTGTGAATGAGGAGCATCGACTAGAGCATCAGTCTGGCCAAGAGCATCAGTCTGGCCAAACTTGCACCGTTCAACCTTCAGGTTTTAGCTCCCTTGAAGCTTCCACACAATACTTAGGTCTGGGTTAGATGCATGCCTCCTTCTTCAGGGCTCTCAGAGCTCCTTGCAGTTACCCTATTTTAAATTATTAAAGCTAGATTATAATTTAATAATAATAATCTACCCTATTATAAATTATTAAAGCTTGCTTACTTGCTCGTCTCCTCATCTAGAATTCTTGAGGGAGGCCTTGTGTCTTATTCCTCATTATGGAACCAACGACAAGCCTTTATCGTAAGGTCTCAAAAATGGTTGCACAGCGAACCCATAATCCTTACTGGTACTGAGTAAGGAAACATGGCAGATGCTCCAGAGATCATTTTGGGGTGACCTTGCAGATACATTTTCTTAGCAGAAATATAAAATGCACTTCCTACTCATGCACCCAGTAATAATTCTGCCACTTTGCTGGAAGAGGTTTTTGTTTTGTTTTGTTTGTTGTTGTTTTTTAATGGGCCACCAATAAGCCATGATCCCATCAGCCTGCACAGAAACGAGGAAGAGAAGAGTCATCAGGGCTTTGCAGCAGGCTGGGGAGTCCGTGACTCTGAAATGGTTACAACAAAGCTTGATCTGCTCCACGTGTACTAATAATACCTGGTATGCTGGGCTTTGTTGTTGTAGCCATTCATCTTAACTTCTCACCAGGGCACTACCTCCTACTCTGTGCCTCAGATGGAGATCATTTCACCTCCAACCCCCAACTCCTCCTCTGGTTACCGTGATTGGTTCTTGGGAGGGCATGCATACTGGTCCTAGCAGATGAGACTTTTGCAGGATCACTGGGAAAGAGGTATGTTCCCACTTGGACTTGGACCCAGTAGCTGCTGGCTGTCATAATCCAGTCATTGACTGGAGTAGAGTTGGGAGGGAGGTAGAGAAAGATCTGATTTAGGCAGACCTGATTGAATTAAGTCTTGCCTTGGGGGCCCATTAAAGTCCTTTTATGTTTAAGCTAGTTAAGCCCCTGATATATCTGGAAAGCATATTCATAGTGTTTCTGGGAGATCTGATGGTCAGAAGCAAGGTCACAGACCCTCAGTCCTTCTAGACCAACTAAAGAAACACACACAGGCGGATGGGATGCCTGGGTGGCTCAGTCAGTTAAGTGTCTGCCTTCAGCTCATGATCCCAGGGTCCTGGGATCGAGCCCCGCATCAGGCTCCCTGCACAGTGGGGAGCCTGCTTCTCCCTCTTCTTGCCACTCCCCCTGCTTGTGCTCTCTCTCTCCCTCTAAAAAAAAAAAAGAAAAAGAAGAAGGAAGGAAGGAAGGAAGGAAGGGAAAAAAGAAGAAAGAAAGAAAAGGAAAAGAAAAGAAAAGAAAGGAAAGGAAAGGAAAAAGGAAGGAAGGAAGGAAGGAAGGAAGGAAGGAAGGAAGAAAAAAGAAAAAGAAAGAAAGAAAGAAAGAAAGAAAGAAAGAAAGAAAGAAAGAAAGAAAGAAAGGAAGGAAGAAAGGAAGGAAGAAAAAAAGAAATACACAGGGGGCACCTGGGTGGTTCAGTGGGTTAAGTGTCCAACTCTTGCTTTTGGCTCAGGTCATGATCTCAGGGTCAAGAGACTGAGCTGGGCATCAGGCTCCATACTCAGTGGGGAGTCTGCTTAGTTTCTCTCTCTCCCTCTTCCTTCTGCCCTTCCCCATCTGTGCTCTTTCTCTCGCTCTCAAATAAATAAATAAATAAATAAATCTAAAAAAGCAAAAAAAAAAAAAAAAACACACAGTGAGCCTTGCTTCCCCACACAACCCACACTGGTGTTGCTCCCACTGCGCCTGGGGATTGAGCCTGCATTCTTGGATAAATGTGAGTTTTGCTTCAGAATCTGTCAGGGAAACCTCAGTAACTTGGAGAATTCTTCACCTTTCTAAGCCTCGGTTTCTTTTCATGTAGAATGAGGAGCTTCAACAAGACCATTTCTATACCTTCCAGTTATAAAAATGATTTTGTAAATATTACTTTTCAGTGCTGACTGCTGACTGACTTCATGTACCCTGCTGGAGCCAGTCTAGATGCCACCAGAAAAGCCTCGAGCTGGGACACAGCCTCTGTATAGTAGAACTATGTCTTTCTCGGACCTGTAGGCCAGAATGTAACACCAATCACAGTCTGGTATGCCGGGCGTACAGTGGAGCGGCCCTGGGCAGTGCATCATGTAGCAGCAGAGGACCTCAGTCCCAGAGTGAGACTCTTTATAGCTTCAGATAGGCAAATACTGGAAACATCTAGGCTGACATAAATCAAGATCTGTGAATAAATTTACTTACCTGATCTTAGATCTGGTCCCCGGTTTTGAGTTTCCTCCTGGCTGGCTAGAGTGGAACCCTACAGTTATCCCGGCTAGGACCAAAATTCCCTTCTATTTAAATCACACATTGGTAAGGCTGCGTCACTCAGTCATCTGGGTTGGGAAGACCAATTCATTTTCTCTCTTGTGTGGCGTCAGACTGTGAGTCTGAACCATTGCACGAATGGTGGGCCTTAGGTACCAAGTGCGAATGCACGACGGATGCACCCAGGGTATGGCTTCTTCGACGGAGGGATCACCAGCTCTTACATCAGACATGCTTGGGGATGGCCAGGAAAAGCCCTCAGTACCTTTCTTAGGTTTTGGTTTTTGTTGTAGTTATTGCTCTATTTTTTAAAATATGATATGTGATCTTTGCTCAAGCTCTTCATGGGGACTATCATCTCACGAAGGTACAAAACGGTTAAAGAATTCATTCTCCTCTGTTCTCTTTATTTGCCTTTCTTGGGTTAATAGTGGAGAATTTTCTGTTTCTTGGCTTCCATGATCCCCGTGCTGGTGGTTTTCAATCATGACTCTGACCTGGACCCCTCAGGAATTCTAGCTTATTGTGTCTCGGAGTTAGGTGAAAACTTTCCCACCACTTTTTTAATCGATGTGCTTGAAATCAAATTCATCATATGTACCATAAAATTGGATTCTTTTAGCATCTTCCCCATCACTGTCAATGGACCCACCTTTGACTTCAGCCTAACTGTGAGAGATATCCTTGGTTCGGGCTCCTTCTATGTCTCTTGCCACCAATGCTGTCATGTATTACAGTAAATAGCTCATCTCCTCACCTCCTCCTAATTCCTTCCACCACTCTGGGCTATGCCCGCCGTGGTTCATGGCTGACTGATGGCAGCAGCTCAGCTGCCCTCCCTGAGTTCCCCCAATTCTAGTCCATCCTTCTCTCTGAGACTAATTGTCCTAAGCCTACACTTTATCTATCATTCCTGGTACTAAAAAGGTAACTTCCTATCACATCACATTACAATGCCTGGAATACATCAAGATTTCCCATTATCGACTTCATCCTACCTATTCAAATTCAACAATGCTTTGGCTTATACTATCCTAGGAGTTTTGATATATTGTATTTCCTATATTATTCCTTTTTATTATCTTTTAAGTGCTCTTCTTCCTAACTACATTACCTAACCCCTAAGTGTTCACCTAACACCCCAAATTCATCCTCACCCCACAACTTAGCCCATGCTGACTCCCCACCTAGCATACTCTCTCTTTCTGTCTTACAACTCCTCCTGGGCCCTCCAGGAAGCCTACCCTTTCCTTTCTAGCCCCCACCGATCTTCCTCTCCTCTGAACACCCACAGTGCTCCTGGTCCACACTAGATAGAATCCCTGAATAGCCAGCTCTGTCCTATCTCCTCTGCTTGCTTCTTCCAACCAGACCACAAACTCCTTGGTGGCAAAGACAAGGCTATATACTTCTTTGCTCTGTAGTGTCTGGCAAAAGGTCCTCAATAAATATTTATTGATTTATTGAAATTGATTTAGAGTGATTTGGGGGGCTGAGGGTAGGAGAAAGAGGGAGCAGAGAGTGATATATATCTAGATCTTCCAGATAATAATTTGGATCTACCACTTCTGGTCACCTGCTGCCACCCTCCTCCTCCCAATTACTTTACCTGCAGAATTGAACCTCTTGGTCAAACTGTGAGTTTTCTGGCTGCGTTCCTTCCTTCAGCTGGCTGACGTTGAAAAAGGAGAGGGTGTGGTTGACAAAGCCGTGCAGGGTCCCGTTGTGACTATAGGCGTACTGGTACACAAGGCGGGGGATAAAGTCGGAGGTGACAGCAATGACAAAAGCCTGAAGTACAGAAGTACAGGTGCTTGAGGGGCGGTCAGGATGGAGGCTGTCCAGGTGGGGCAGGTTCCCGCTGGCTGAGAGACTGGTCCCCCTTGGGCTCCCCATCCAGAGGCACCGCTCTGCCAGAGAAGTCCTTACTCTGAGCTCATGCAGCTTTTCCACCTTTGGTATGTGTAAGTGAACCCACTAGACAGTGGCTGGTTACTAAGGATGCTAAGCCAGTGTGGATTGTTGGGTTCTGGAGGGAATGAGCACCTCTGAGATATTTGAGTTGACACTGGTGTTGGCCAAGCCAAGGCAGAGTGGAAGATTTTCTGAGAAAATTACTGATCATGATAAGAGGGCCACTTTTAGGTGATATGCAAGGACATTGGATGACCATGAACCTCTGTCTCTGGGGGACACCAGAGAACCAGGAATCCCAGGGATATGGTGCCATAGTTCCCTCCATTTGACCATTGTCTCTCAACACTTTTTAGCACAGCATGTAATGGAAGTTGTTCTTTCATCCATTTGACTTAGGAACACGGAGACCCAGAGGGGTAAGGAGTGGGTCTTGCCTGATCCCACCACACGTACCCAGCGCACTGTCTGGCATATTTAAGTGTTCTATAAATGTCTGAGGAGCAAACCAAACAACGAGTGAATGATTGCATGTTTGAACATGGAGGTACTTTCTGCAAAGAAAATCTTAAATCTTTCTGGCAGGTGTTTATACTGTATTCTGCACCAACAATTAAAGCCCTTTTTAAAAAAATGTAGTTTAGGCATTGTTTTCTAAATGTATATATGAGTGTGGATGGCCATAACCATATTTGAGAATGAGTAACTTACTGAGCACTTGCTATAGGTCCTTTCATCTTCCCAGTTAATTTCCAGAATGATCCTTTTTGGAGGGTAATCTTATGCTCTCCCATTCTTACAGATAAATAAAGAAGTCTTAGAAAGGCCAGGGAGGTAAGATTTCTTGTCATTCTGTTGTATGATGGAAAGTGCCTAGTATGCAAGGCCTCTTTTCTAGGTAACACAACTCTAAAATATCTACTGATCTAGTTTCCAAATTGCACCTTATTTGTCAGCCGTAAGATGTGCACTTCCTACACCGAGCATTCAAAATGCAGTGGGCTGATTCTCTCTGCTTCTCCTCATGCCTCTCTAGTCATTTTATGTGTTCTTAATAGGCAACCAAGTCACAGCCAGAACCAGTTTTTCTCCCGGGGGAAAATGGGTGGTGGCTTTCTTGGTATGTGCCAGGCCAGCAGGACTTTCCTCCAACAAAAGGCCCTACCCGGCCACCATCCGCACAGGAAGCAGAAGCCAAAGCTGCCATTGGCTTGGGCCCAGCAAGATTTCCTCAGAAATGTGGACGTGTCTGGCAAGGCAGTTGAGGAGGTCACAACAGGTAGGACCCCTCTTCTTGGATGTCCTATCTTAACCTACACGTGCCAGAGTCCCTGGGAATAATTACGACTTCACATTGACAGCTTAGAGGAACCATAATTAGGAACCATGGCCCGGGCAACAGTCCAGGTATTGTTTAGCTCGGGAGTAGAAAAAGAAAGGAAAGAGATGGATAGATAGGTGGAATTCTTTCCTCATTATTCTTGGCTCTGAGGAAAGATCAGATTTTGACTCTTAAGGCCAAGGTATGCATTCCGGTGGATAATTACCTTTCTTTCGCGTCGTGAAATTAATGAGAAAGTCACAGAGCCCTGGCCACGGCCTGATGAGTTAGAAGGCATGTACACACTATTAACCAGGGAGCTGCCTTGAACAAAGCTCCAAAACGAAAAGGCTGGGAGGTAACAAGGGCTGATACCCTGCTTTGAAGACCTAAGCTCCTCTGGAGGCCCACTCTGCAGGTCCCTTCCCATAGAGCTAGGGTGTCACAGATGGAACACTTACATTGCTGATAACGGAGAACTTGCCGATCCCAGAGAGAATGTCAAACCAAATCCCTGTAAGACAGAAAGCAGGGCGTCTGGCTCACTCCCACCCTTGGCCTGGTGACTGACAAGGCTGCAGCTCAGGATGATGTTCCGCGGGCAAGGTACCAGTGGAGGTTTGCAGGGCCCCCCAGGAATGGGCTTGCCTAGAAAGGCTTAGGTGCCACCCTGTCTGGAAACCAGGAGGACAAGTGGGTGTGGATAAAGGCCTCCCAGAGCCCAAAGATATGAGGATGAAGAGCTCCAAGGGATAAAGAGGCAAGGGCTTCCCCCAGCCCTCCTGAATCCAGAGTGCGATGGTGGTGGCAGGTCATGGCAGGGAGCCCGAGGGGACCAACGGAGGTGGAGGGCCTGCCATGATCTCTAAGAAGGGGACATACCAATATCTTTGGTTCTCACGGCATCTGGCCGTCTCAGCTCGGTCACAAACTTCTTTGCATCAAGCCGTACTTCAATGACATTGTTGAGAAGGGCGAACACAGGTGCCAGAGGAAAGGAGGCCACAAAGAGGGTGACAAAGCCAAACTGGATGACTAAGAGAGAGAAGAGCGTGAGAAGCTTCACCAGGAAGAAGCAGGATCTAGGTAAACTTCACCTTGCAGCTATGGCCCCTTGTCCTTTCTTACGGGGTCTCTTTCCCACCCTTGATCTCCTAGGATCCTTTTTCCTCCTGCCCCACAGTCGTGGGTCTTTCTCTCTCAGTGCCTGCAGGCCCACAGGCCAAGGCAATCACCCCAGAGCAAAGCTCTGTGTTAGGAGATGTGAGAAAAGGAAAAGTCTTGACTCTCTCCTTTCCATCACTCTTTATCTCCAGTCACTAATCCCGGTCCTCTAACTCACAGGTTGACAATCTTTCTCAGTAAGTGAGTAGATAGTAAATATTTTTGCATTTGCAGGCCACACAGTCTTGTCACAATGACTTAACTCTGCCATTGTAGAGCGAAAGCATCTAGAGACAACACGTGGACAGAGGAGCTTGGCTGTGTTCCAATAAAACTTTATTCACAAAAGCAGTACATAAAGTGGGCTGGATTTGGCCCGTGGGCCATAGTTTGCCAACCCCTGATGTAACAACAACAACAAAAAATCACCTCCCAAATTTGGGCTCTTCTTTCCATATCCATAGTCACTGCCTTTATTTAGAAAGTTTATTCATTCATCACACATTTATTGAGAGCTCACTGAATGTCAGGCACCTTGCCAAGCATTTCAGGAGGCAAAGGTCTGGTCCTGCTTTCAGGGAGCTGGGTGTAAAGCAGAAGAGAAAAATGTACACAAAGATGTGCACCGAGATTTTCTGCGTGCCAAGAGAGAACGAGGAATGTACCAGAGGTAGCGGAGACCCGGGGGGGGGGAGCACAAGCCTATTCAGGGTGGGGACTAAGGAGAGCCTCCAGATCAAACACCTGAGCTTGGTCTTGAAAGACGGGCCTGGACTGAAGAGAGCATTCCAAGCCAAGGAAGCAGTGTGAGCAAAGGAGGGTAGGAAGCCTGAGCCAATCAGATGGCTGTACGGTGTCCAGCCCCTCATCACTTCAGCCTGGGCAACTGCATGACTCCCTAACTGCTTCCTCTGTCACCAGTCTGCCCAGGCCTCTATAGTCTCTTCCCTCAAAACCCCCAATAGTCTGATCCTGTCACTTACCTATCATAAAAATGGCTGTGGGCTCCCCTCTGTTTCTTGGCTGTAGGCCAAATTCCTTATCTTGGGAGGCAAGTACTTCACAGTCTGCTCCCCACCTACCTCTCTAGCCCCATCTCTCCACATTTCCCTCACAGCCATCGAGCTTCTGCCTTCTGGCACTGGGTTTCTCCCCCTTGGGATCTTCCCTGAAGGCAGCAGGTGCCCCCACTCACCCGTGCACCCGCTCTCCAGCTAACAATATCTATGCATCCCCAAGATCATTCAAATGCCATCTCCTTGCCATCTTCCTCCTGCTCTACCCTCACCCCACCTTGGTGCCTGCCTCTGTTACAGCCCTCACTGTGTGCTCACACCTCTTTTCCACTAGACAGGCAAGGGCTCCAACCATCCCTAGGGGTTCAGCGACCACAGTCCTGAGTCCCAAGAAAGCCACAGTCTAATAGGAACCCCCTACATACCAAGGGCAAGTTATTTAACTTCTCCGGGTCTTGGTTACTTTGACTGCAAATTGAGGATGACAATGCCCATCTAGGTTGTCCACAAGGGTAAATGATATTGCACAAATCAAGCGCTTAGAACAATTTCTGCCACTTAATAATTGTTCAATAATGTTATCTGTTATTTATCCCCTTATTGGGATAAATATCAACACTTACAGGTGGCTGCAATGTATATTGCATACGGATATGTTAAAAGGACACAAATTGAAGGTATAAGCACTGAATGAGAGTCAGGAGGCCTGACCTCTAGCCCTGGATATGTTTCTCACTAGCTATATGTCCTTGGGTAATTCTCTCTGCTTCAGGGGGCTTCAGCATCTTCATCGATAAGTTCTGAAGAGACAGGTTTAAATTCCTCTTGAAGTCTGATTTGTAATGATACTGTGATTCTCATTTTCTTGGACAAACTTCAAGATTCTAGGATATTCAAATAAAGAATGAAAACCCAGGAACTAAACTAAAAAAGTAGTAATAAAATAGAAAATGTTCACAGAGGGATATGCCTAACCACAGCAGTTTTGAGAAAGAGAACATGCATGGAACTGCTTTTGATTTGGCAGTTTGCTTGGGCCCACAGTTGTGAGTTATTGCTCTTGCTGATGCAAGTCTGTCTCTGCCATGGTCCTTGATGCCCAGTGGATTCTCAGCTGGCCCCAGGAGACCGGCAGGTGTCAGTTGGTGGCAAAATGTACCAGAAGACGCAGATTTGTCAAGGTTGGGACCTTGGAATGAAGCCTGCCAAGCTGGCTGGCTGAAGGGGTTGGGACAGTGGGGAGGGGGAGGAGAAATCTTCAAAAACAAGTTCTGGGAGCCAGTTCAAAATGCAGGGTCTAAGGCATCTTTTAAATCAGGATTTGCTGAGGAATTCACTTTAGAGTCAGGGGTAGGGGTGGGGGCAGAGGGGTTGAGGGGATGGAATTAACAAGGAAAGCAAAACAGATGTTAAACTAGTTTTCTAAAACCTGTAAATTGCATGTCTGTGTTTAAGCATATATATGAACGTGTCTTTATTTATGGCCTTCTAAGTTGGTCTTCTTGATTCTAATGAGCTCAGTTCTACAGGGCAAGTGTTCTTCTTCTTGTCAGTGACTTCCTCAAGCAAAACCATGCAAACTCTCCAAAGCCCCAACAAGGACCTCGCAAGGAGACTGGTAAGGGGAGGAAGGGGCGGGTTACCCTGTAAATGTAGACAGAACGCCCTCACCATACTTGTGCAAATGGCACCCAGACACCAAGGGTCTTCCAGGAAATAGGAAAATAGGACTGTGCACTCACTCTCCTTTCCTTCAGGTGATCTCCAGGGACAGAGATGAGCCCTCTCCCTGGGGTTGCCCTGATGGTTTGCTTTTTTACCTTCATAAACTCTCCAGACCCACAGGCTCCCTTTGGTCTCTCTTGGGTCTACATAAACGACTTTTAGCGGTGGCTAAATGCTCACGGTGTGCCTGAATTACCCCGAGGCCATGACACAGTTCTTATTTTTCTCCTTGTCACGTAAGTCTGTGTGTCCAGCACTGGATGACCTCAAGGGGGTGGGCTCAGCAAAGGCCAGTGGTTCCAGGCCTGCAGTGACGGGACACCCCCATCCCTGTTCCAGTATTCCTCAGGGCACCCGAGGCCACAAGGAGCCCCTCTCTGCAGATGTTCTAAGCTGCAAGTGCTTCCTGCTTAGAGGGGGTATACTGTACATTTCCAGGAATCAGCCCAAAGAGGCAGAAACAAATAGGAAGCTTTGTTTTATCCTGTGGAGAAAAAAGTTATAAAACTCTAACCCTCTAGCATACACATGCCAAATCCAAGACTTTTTCTTTTTAGTCAAAGACCTAAATGCTGTATCAGATGGGTGTCCTTCTGGGTTCACTTCAGAGGACACAATGATACCAGCCTTCATCAACACCACGATTTGCTTCTAAAAACAGCCAGCCTCCATTAGGATAAGAACGTCCCTGAGAACCCCCAGTGCACTGCATAATAGAAGCCAGCTTGGCTTGACCAATAACAGATTAAACCTGGCCAAGCCAATTAGGAAGGAATCCGTAAGTTGATTTTCGACTAAATCTTTACAAAGCCTGCTGCAAAGTGCTCCAGAAATGCTGAGCTGGAAGCACAAAGACTGGAAACACTCAGAGGCACAAACTCCATTGCTTTTCTCCCCTCACTCTCCAGGACCTTCTAAAATCAACACCAGCCCCATACTGCCTGACGCTGGAGACAATTAAAATCTTGGCCTTTGTTACCTGGGCTTAGGTTAACATAACAAGGAGGAGTGGATTAAACTAAACAAGATGGCTTCCAGCAAGGACATTCCAGGACAATCTGCTTAAAGATGAAAAATAGCGCATTAGGTAGAAAAGACTGGCCAGTATTGGTGGAAAAGCTCTTGATCGAACATAGTTTTTATTCATTAACTTAAAATTCTTCAGTGAAACCACACTCCCATCACACATGGGCTCATGTGCCCACACACATACATGCATAAGTGCACATGCACACACCGCGCATGCACACCCACCCCACCCCCCACACTCTCTCTCTAGCCCAGATCCTTGTCATGACATACAAGACCCTTTGTGAACTAACCCTAATTTATTTTTCCAGACACCTGTCCTCCCCACCCATGCTCTGAGCTCAGGGCTAATATTTAGCTGGTAAGCTTGGAGACCAACTCTGCTTGCTTTCCAACCATTTCAAAAGCCATTTGTACCTCTTCAAACTCACCACATTTTCCATATTTCTGAGCCTTCATACATACCACTGCTATCTGTGCTGCTCTAATTTTCCTTCTCTTGTTGTGTGCTGAATGAATTACAATCTGTATTTCAGGTCCAACTCAAACCTAACCTTCTCTATGAAGAGCCTCAGTCCCACCACCTCGCCCAGGCAGGAGTGAGTGCCATGGGCATCTCTCCACCTCACTCCCATCATGCCTTGCACATGTCGCTCTACTGGTCTATTTGATTTGCTCCCTAGATGGGGAATCCCTGGGACCATGGACATATCGGATTCTTTTCTGAGTCCTCACATTTTTGTGTGGTGCCTATCCCACAGCAGGTGTCCAGAGGTTAGTTGGTTCATAAATACAAGCTTATTTTTTCACCAGCTGCAAACACAAAACAGATACAAAAAGAGGCTGACTCAACTGTGTGAAGGGAAATCATTGTACTTAGTGATGGTGAGGAAAGATGGGACATGAAATGCTGACACCTCCACACGGCAGTTCTCAGTGCTGTAACTTGCATGACTTGGAAGAAAGTGAGTATAAAACCAGTCAGTCGGGAGAGTCTAAATCTAATAAAAATCATTACAGTATTTTTTCCCTTAACTTTCTATAGCTTAGTGAAAGCAACACAGTCTTCTTAAGGGGATTAAAAACTGGGGGCTTAAGAAT